TCTCAGTCAAAAGGTAGTGGCAGCCTTTTGTGTCTGCTAGTTCTGTACCCCTTAAATGCCTCTTTTACCCCTTTAGCAGTTAGTTACCATCTATGACTTAACAATTCTTCACATTAAAATTTCCTTTAAATTTTATGGTACTGGTAGGGCATCTTACATCAGACCTCGAATTGCCCAAGATTATACCACTAGGAAGCAAAGGCTGGGTTTCAAGTCCAGGAAATCTGATGACAGACTGTACTCCCAAATTACTATGCTACACTGCCCCTGGGGTTTGGGATAACATTCAAGTTCAAATTCCTGACAGTCTAAACCCCTGCAATGCTACAGAGAATAATTTCTTACCCAAGACTTTCATCAAGACAAAAATGAGAATTGTAATCCAACGGTAAAGTACTCAGTTTTATCTTCTCAAGTGTGACATGGCCTACTACTACCCTACCTTAAATTTTAATTTTTCAACTCACTTCCACATGTAGGATTTTACCTACAGCACTCCTGTAGAGTTGATAAAGCATATATTTGTTCTATAAAGAAACTGAGGCCTGCATTTTTAAACATTTGCATGATTGGTGGTACAGGTTTCCTAAATCCAAGCCAGAATTTTGTCTGTCACACTGCTGTCTTGTCTTGAGGTTTAGGGACTCCAGAATCAACTTGACTGGAGGATGGAAAAATGGATCCCCAAGACACTTTGGATTCTAATCCTTAGAACCAGTGAAGCTGCCTTTCTTGGGGAGAAAAGCTTTAGCAGGAGTGACTAAACTAGGGATCAAGTGGTAGGGAGGGTACCACACGCCATAACGAGAGTTCTTGCGAGAGAGGCAGACTCATACGAGAGAAGCCGGTGTGAAGACAGAGCCGGATCCTGGAGAGACGTGGCCACAACCTAAGAGATGTCAGAAACTTCTGGAAGCTAGAAGGGCAGGGACAGAGTCTCTGGATGGTCTCTGGGGGGAGGTCAACCTTGTGGAAACCTTGATTACAGCCCAGTGACATGCACAGACTTCAGACTCTAGAACTGTGAAAGAACAAATTCGTTTTTGTTCTTAGATACCTTGTTTGTGGCAATTTACTACAGCAGCCTCCAGAAACCAATCCCCTGACAAAATCAAGTTTAAAAGACAGGATTATATGGCTAGAAGATAGTATCTTAAGGTCACATAAGATTTATAAGCTCAGCTTCATTAAAATTAAGACCATTAAGAATGAAAACACAAGCTAAAGAGTGTAAGACATTTGCAATTATAAATATCCTACAAAACGTATATCCACAGTATAGAAAGAAGTCCTTCAAACTGGTAAAAAAGGTAAAATTTCAAAACTTTAAAACCAGGCAAGACTTGAACATGTCCAAATGACCAATAAGCATGTGAAAATATGCTCAGCCAAGAATAGTGGTACACACCTGTAACCAAAGCACTGAAGGGGGAGGCAGGAGGGTTCTGAGTTTGAGGATAAACTGGACTATATATCGAGAGGCCCCCGCCCCCCAAAACCCGGAGTACTCAACATCATTGTCTGCTGGAGAATGCAAGTTAAAATTGAATGAGACAATGAGATACCATTAGCCCACCACCACCAATGCCACGGCTAAAATGAAAAGGTTGATGAACACCAAGCACTCGTGACCAGACGGAATAACTACAACTCTCATACACTGTTAGTGGAAGTGGAAATTGGAAGAACTGCTTAGAAAACTTAACAGTTAATTTACTGAATCTAAACATATGTGTAAAATTCAGTAACTCTGCTCATGTATATATCCCCAAGATAAAGCATAATTATTTGCACCAAAAGACATGAACAAAGGTATACAAGAATACATATAATAGTAGAATGAATAAAACAGTGGTATATTCATGTAATGAAATAATGTATAGCAATGAAAAGGAATGAACTACTAACATAGCCAACAACATGAATTTCACAGACATAACGTTAACCCAAAGAAGGCAGGCACAAAACAGTACCTAGAAATGATTCCATTTATACGAAGTTCAACACCAGGTAAACAGCAAAGCTATGGTGACAGAAGTCAGAACTGTGGTTTCCTGGAGCCAGTGGGGGAGAGCTCAAGGGTTCTCATCTACTGTGGGAGCCTGCTGGTGAGCTGGGAAAAGTTTTACACGTGGGTCCACGTGGGTGGGCAGTGAATGGATGCAAATAACAGGAATCAATTGAGCTGTCCACTTAGGGTCTGGATTATTAACTGTATATGTAATATCTGAATAAAGAAAAAAGAACAGTAAAAAGACTTACAGGAGAAAGATAGTAAGGTTAATCCACCACTTAAAGGCATCAGAAAACTGGCCTGCCATCCTGGTTTCACTAAAAAGTGCTCTTGTGAAAACTGATTTTTCTCAGTTGCATTTATACCAAGCTCATACAGTGATTAAGTGAATTAGATCTTGTATAAATATCTTTGAGTTCCTAAAAAAGAGAAGCTCCTTAAAATATAAGACATAATGTGTATGAGGCCCTGGGTTTGATCCTTAGCCCTGCAAAAAAAAATAAAAATAAATAAATGCAATAAACAAAAAGTGTACCACAAAATATAAAACAACATAAGGTACGGTGGTGTGTGTCCGTAACCCTAGCATTTTGGGAGGCTGAGGCAGGAGGATTGCAAGTTGGAATCTAGCCTGGGCAACTTAGTGTGTCAGTGTGTAGGCCATGGGTTCAACCTCCAGCACTAAAAAGAAAAAATATAAGGCAATATTATTTGTGAGCATTCTCAAATTTCATTTTCACTTATATAATCTCTTATAAATACTTTCTCCTTTATGTATAATCACTAAAACTAAGAAAGTAAGTGAGTATGGAAACTTGTACTAGGTCAGGAACAAATGGAGAAATAGGGGCTTAATAGGGCTACCCATTCTTTCTATGACCCTTCTGAGGGTAACTGTCATAAAACTGAAAAGTTACTGTTTCTACTTATTAAATCTGCCTGAAAGGTATACAGAATCTATTTAGTGACTAGATTTTCAAACTCTAGAGAATCTAATCAGAGATTTGTAAAAAACTCAAGCCCAATAATACTATTCTGTTCATTTCCTCCTTTTTGAGGGTTATTAGTAAAAGTTAAACAATGATCAAGTCGTAGTCATAGCTCATGTAGCGTGGTTCCAGTTACGCAGTTCCTCTAACTCTGAGCTATCCAGTAGGGTAGCCACCAAGTATGCGTGGCTACCTAGCACTTGAAACTTTGATTTGTTCTCTGAATTTAAAACATACCACATACCAGTTTTAAAAACTGTACAAAGCAAATATAAAAATCTCAGTAACATTCTTATATTGATTATATGCTGAAATATTTTAACATATTCAGTTTAATAAGATCCATTATTAAACTAAATTTAATCAGTTTAGTTTTACTCTTTTAGTATGGTTAATAGAGATTTTTAAATTACATATACGATTTTGCATTATATTTATGCAAGACACCAGGGTTCTACATAAAGATTAAAATTTTCATAATGCTACTGATCTCTTTTAGGATGAAGTTTCAAATTAGTGTTATGGTTATTTAATGTCTCCTGGCCAAATTACCTGTCTTTCTCAAAGATTAAAACTTCTGTTTAATCTTTATAATCAACTGGGTTTCAACATGGTCATATAATAAGATGTTTGACCTGCATGATGTCATGGAATATTTTACCAGTTTTCCCGGAGCCCTAGTAACACGTAAACCTGTGGTTCGGGCACTTTGAAGCGCTGGAGCGGAGAAGTGACCCAGTAACCTCCTCTGGGACTTCCCAGGACACCCAACACAAACTACATTCTACCGACTGATTGTATCTCTTCAGAGTTCCTGTGCTGAAGCTCTAACCCCTGATGTGACATCTGCAGATGGGGCCTGAATCAGAGACAAGGTTAAATGAGGTCACCGAGTGGGACCCGTCAGGTAGGAGTGCTGGCCTCATGGTGGGGGATCTCTCTGCCTGTCTGCCAGTGTGGACGCACAGCGAGAAGGCAGCCGTCCGCAAGTTAGGAACTGAGTTCTCAACAGAAATGGACCTGCCAGACCTACACCTGGGTCTTCTGCCTTCCAGAATGATGGGAAAATTTCTGCTGTCTAAGCTACCAGTCTATGGCATTTTATTAAGGCAGTCCAAGTAGGCTAGTGCAGACACTCACTACTTAAGACAGTCAAATTTTAATATTATAATGTACACTAATTACGGATGTATACACTTTCTGGTAAGCTAAAAGCATGGTGATTTCCATAAAGTGGAGAGTGAATAAATATTTCTTACTTTTCTCTGAAAGTTAACACAAGAGGCTGGCCAGTGTCCTCTGCAGACAAACTCACAGATAGAGCATGTTTGGGGAGCCAGGTCCAAAGGGTCAAGAAAAATATTATGAGTATTATTTTTAAAGGTAACTTTGAAATATTTTCTTCTCAACTCTATCAAAAATAATTCAGTTAATGGAATTCATATTCCAACTTGAACTGAAAATGCTAAGTTGTTAATCTCTTCCTTTGGGATCTGCACCTTTCGGTGATGACACCTTCAATGATTTCATCATACTTTAAGTACAATAAAATCTCATTTTCTGCTCCAAGGCAGGAATAATCCTCAGTGTGCCCGAATCAGTATAGTACTAAGCCTTATGGCTGTTAGAGTAGCATGTTATCGGCGTTACGAAAAGGAAAGAGGGGGTCACTCCAATGGGGCACCCAGCACACACCTGTGATCCCAGGGACTTGGGCAGCGGAGGTGGCAGGATGACAAGTTGGAGGGCGGCCTGGGCAGCTTGGCCAGACCCTGCCTGGGAAATACAACCCAAAAATTAAAGGGGCTGAGAGTTCAGCTTGGTGCGCCCTGAGTTCAGTCCCCAGTACTGGAAAAAGTTAAGAATCCATCCATCTTTCAGTTTTTTAATGGAGGGATTTAGAGAAGGGGGGCAAACTGGGTAGTTGCTTTACTCACTGTTACCACTTTAATGCCTCTGTCACCTCTTACAGGTCTGATCTAAAGACTTCTTTACACAATTTCATTTGTCCCACGCACGCTTTCTGGGGAAGGGACCCTGCCGGCTAACAACCTCAAAGACAGTGGCCCCAAATTCAAGGCTGCTCCACCGAGTGACCTCCCCGCTCTCGCCCGCAGGCCAGGCGCGCCCACTGCCCACACCGCCGCCACGACTGCCTCTCACCCTGGTCCAGTTTTGCTTCCGGGGTGAGGGCCACGCGGAGTGGCCGGTCTCCCCGAGCCGGGGGCCGTAGGGCCGGGCCGTCCGTGCCCTCCGCACGCCCGCCGGGGCTTTCGGTCCGGCGTGTCGCCGCGTTCAGCACGCTCTCCCCGGGCCGAATTCCTTTCCGTTCCGCTCCGGGGCGCCCGCGGTCGGCGCTGCCCCCAGGAGGCGCGGGACACAAACCCGCCCCCGCCCCGCGTCCGTCGAGCACCGGCGTTCGACCTGGGGCACAGCCCCCGCACCCCAACTCCCCTCGGACCGAGTCCGCCGGAACCGAGCCCGCGCTCCACCTCCGCCGGCCTCGCAGACGGCAAAGGGTAAGTTCCCGGCCCGCAGCCGCGGCCGCGGCGGCTCCAGCTCCGGGGCGGGCGGCGACCAAGGGTCCGCGAGCCCAGGCCCCGCGGCGGGCCCGGCCCAGGGCGCT